CATGGGAGGTTGGAACCAAATGAGGTTGTAGAGATTTTAGGAACTAATAACAAATCTTGGACCAATTACTTGGTCAAAAGTTGTTATTCCCGTTTTGACAATCTAGGCATCAAATTAATGTGGCTGAAGCATTGTGAAGCTCGAATGTCCAAATCAATTGGCTGGTGCATCCTTCTAATAATCTAGAAATACTTGGCGTGCGATGTGTCTGACGCATTGCAGTCATCAATTTTCAATTTTCCTTACAAAATAAACAAAATTTCATCAATTAGCCTCTATTTGCTTCTAACTACTTGCCTAAGTCCTTAATAACGAAATATGCACATTTTCCATGAATTATGTGCATTAACATACATTTTCCATTATAATTAACTCCCAACTAAGCATGTAAAACTAATCTTTTTAGCCTTTAATCAAGTCTTATCAGTCTTGTCGCCTTTTAATTTGTCGTTGGTTAAATCGAACCCGATCAAGGATCGTGGTCGAAGTCTGGGTCAAGTCAGGTCCATTACTTTTTTTGTTCCTGTTGGTTAAATCGAACCCGATCAAAGATCGTGGTCGAAGCGCCTGTCAAGCAAGGTTCGTCATTCTACCCTTATGTAAATAAATTTTCGCCTTCCCAATACTTTGTCTTTTTGTCTTTGTCTACCCTTTTAGTTCTGCAAGGATACAAAAAGGGCAGCAAACTGTAGACATCGTATTTTGTCCGACTCTCTTTTGTTAAATTTATTTATTTATTTATTATTATCATTATTATTTATTTTATTAAGTTTAATTTTAATTACTTTGGTTAAAAGTAACATAATTTACTTTATTATTAGTTTTAAGGTAAAGTTTTAATGAAAGTAATTTTAAAAATAGATTTTTTTTTTCAAAAAGAATTTGTTTTTATTTCTTTTTGAGTTAAGGTTTTTATTTAGATATTTTTTAACAAACAGATTAAGAAGCAGTCATTCCTTTGATTTTTCTTCGTTAAAGTTTACAGGTAGCTTCACTCCCTCATATTTCTCCCTTTTTTTCTCTATTCCTTTTTTACCTTCCCCTTGGTTACCATTGCCCTCTATAGTACTCTAATGACGGGGGTTGGAACCTTCCAATATTCTCAAGGTGATAAAATTTTTCTAATGACATTCGTGCCACTCATACCTATTAATTCATATCTTATAACAAAGTGTGAATTAATATAACGTCGGACATTTAAGTAAAAAAACACAAAAATATTTTCTCTTGGACCAAATAATATAATAGGATAATTTATGACAAAATATGGTACTGTTTTCAAACAGGTGTTGTAGGGTGCTAACACCTTCCCTAGGCTCAGTCAACTCAGTCAACAATCTGTTTTTCGTAGACCTTGTTTTTTTTAAATAGGTGACCAATTACACCTCGTAGATGATTGGTGGCGACTCCAAACCCTTATCTCGAAAGAGACCCTTCAAGGGATGACGTCGCCCACTCTACGTCGCGATGACGTTGCGACACTGATGGTTTTAGAATTTTCCCTCTATAAATATAACAGTAAGCTAAACTCTAAAGGGATGCTAAAAATCACTCAACTCTCTTACTCTCTCAATGCCTTGCAATTGGATCCCACAAACTAGATTCTCGATCAAGAGACTTACAAGGAATATCAAGTGGTGTTGTCTCATTGGGTTTACACGAAGAAAAGTCTTCAAATGTAAAATCTGAAATTCTTCCTTGTTTTATATTGTTCTGTGTTTTAAATTTCAAAAGAAATTGAAGAACACGTTCTACTGCTTCCACTCTAACATTCACATCATTTCAATATAAGGAAATGATACCCTAGCTGCAAAAGAGAAGACAAAATAGAGAATCAAAATTAGAGCATTGATTGCAGAGAACATTCCTCCATCTTGTCACCATCTTTCATCGAAGAAGGAGCTGAAAGCGTGGCTGGTTTTCCTTGGTGTCATCATTCTGCTGCTGAGGAAGTTTTCATTTCCCTGTTGTCTACTTTACTGATGGAGCCCATTTCTCTTCTACCCACTCTTTTCTTTTCTTGCGTGATGAACTAAAACCCACCTTCATGGGGGATCAGCCTGTTGTAGCCATTTTATTAACTGTGCTTGAGTAAGCTTAAATACTGTTTTAATAGAAGTATTTTTATTCTTTCATCTCACTAATTTTGTTTGGCCAACTTTATTGGTGCGTTAGCTTACTTGAGGCTCGAGAAAGTCCTTATGTTGCGTGATTGCTTCTATTAGCTTTAAATCTTTCTCTTTGTAGTAGGATGGTGAGTACTCAGGGATGAGGCTTACCCTATTGTGCCTATAAACTGTTTTATTGCTTGCTTTTATTACAATGGGAGTTTGATTTAAGCATGTTTGGATATCTCAGGAGAGAACCACGTCTATTTGGAAATTCAGTATTCTGGGTCTGCTATAGCATAGTTAGTAATGGGTGAAAGCATATGAGCGAATCCCCTTCGATTTACTTTGCAATCGTTTCTTCTTCACAATCTGTTTGTTGTCTGAGTTGGATGCTCAGCCTTGTATCGAAATATTTTTGCAGCTGTTCATTTAATGTTTTATAAATTTATTTTCATTATTCCTACAATATTCCAGTCAAACTATTTTTATTTTAGCTTTTGGTATTCTGATTCGTTGGTTCAAAGTATAGTTGCAATCCCTGTGGAAACGACCTTGTTTATATACTACAATTGATTATTTAGTGTATACTTGCATTAATTTTCACCTATTTGTGAGGAAGCAAACAAGTTTTTGACGTAGTTGTCGGGGATTGTGTTTTCATATTTTGATTTTAGCATTTTGGAATACGGTGCCTAACGAGCTCTCTCACCTCTCTTTCGGTTGATTTGTGTAGTGAATGAACGATTTCCCTATATTTGAATTTGAGTTTGACCCTAAAATTGAGCACACTTTTAGAAAAATAAGGGTTGAATAGAGAGTACATCGTAGAAAAGGGGTTGGAATGAATCCGAACGCACCAAATCCACATGAATTGAAGTAGAGAGAACATCAGGGGTTGAAGTTGGCCAAACTATGCCAGTACCTCCTCTGAACGATGTTCTGCTCGCAGATGATATCGAGCATGAAATTTGAGTTTATGCGGCCCCAGCATTCTATGACCTCAACCCAATGATGGCAGACCCCATCATTGAAGTCGGTAGATTCGAGCTGAAGCCTGCAATGTTTCAGATGATCCAGACCGTAGGACCATTCCATGGGCTTGCATCAGAAGATCCCCATAGACACCTAATATATTTCATGCGAGTGTCAGACTCATTTAAAGTAGCAGGAGTAAGCAAGGAGGCTATGCACCTGAAGTTATTCCCTTATTCTCTGAGGGACATTGCTAGAGAATGGTTAGATTCCTTACCTGCCGAATCAATAACTTCATGGAATAACTTAGCTGAAAAGTTCCTGATGAAATACTTCCCACCATCGAAAAATGCAGAGCTTAGGAGAAAGATAAACAACTTTCAACAACACCTAGGACAATCTTTGAGTGAGTCTTGGGAAATATTCAAATGATTGCTCCAGAAATGTCCATATCACGGTATACCACGTTGCATTCAACGATTGAAACATATTATAACGGTTTGAATGAGGCTACACAGTTAGTAATAGATGCCTCAGCAAACGGATCATTACTGTCAAAGCCTTATGTTGAACCCTTCGATATGTTAGAGAGAATTTCGTGCAATAAGCACCAGTAGTCAAAGTTCATGGGCTTCATCGATGACATCTAAAGGATTAATAGAAGACAATGAAGTGGCAGATTTGAATTCAAAAATCTCAAGGTTAGCAGACATATTAATGAAGAATATAACTTCAGGGGATGCTGGAGCTTCCAAGGCAAAATTGAATAATGTGTAGAGTATGTCATGCCCATATTGTGAATGAGAGCACCAATTTGAGAATTGTCTAGGCAACCCCGCATCAATGTTTTATTTGGGGAATCCACAGCAAAACAGAAATAATGTATATGGAAGTACTTATAACCCAAGTTGAAGGAACCATCCAAATTTCAGTTGGGGCGACAACCCGTCAGTGCAGAATACTGGAACTAGCAGATCATCAGAAAGTACAGTACCCACCTGGAGTCTCAGGGTAGAACCAACAGGCAGTTCCAAAGCAACCAGAAGCCATGACCCTCGAGTAGATGTTTAAGGCATATATAACTAAAATGATGCAAATGTTCAAAGTCAAGCTACATTGTTGTAGAGTTAGGTGACGTCATTGAGGAAAATGGATGTTCAAATTGGTTAACTAGCGACAAAACTAAAGAATAGACTAAAAGGAGTGCTCCCGAGTGACACAGCCCTACCTCCAGCTCATCATCGACAAGAAGGTGACAAGGAAGGAACAGCAGCGACTGAGATCTCTAAAGAATAAGGTGAAGCTACACAGAAAGACGAACTAGAAAGTGTAACTCCAAAGTGTAGTAAGCAAACAAGAGAGAAAAAGAACAGTGGAACACAGACCAAATCAGAAGGTCAAGAGTTAAATATGGAAAAAGAAAAGGGTGAGATGCCCAGAACAGACAATGCTAGGGCATCCGTGTCTAAGGCAAATGGAAAGTTGAAGCAACCGGACCAAGTAGCTACTCCAGCAGAATATGTACCTGTGCCGCCTTATCCAAAAAGACTGCAGAAGAAAAATCAAGATGGGGAGTCCAAGAGATTCCTTGAGGTGCTTAAGCAACTACATATCAATATTCCACGAGTTGAAACTTTAGAGCAAATACCTACATATGTGCGGTTCCTAAAGGATATTCTTACAAAGAAGTGTAGGCTGGGTGAATTCGAAACGGTATGCTTAACCAAGGAATGCAGTACGATCTTGACCAGCAAGATACCCGAGAAAATGAAGGATCCAAGAAGCTTCACAATACCCGTATATCTATTGGAGGCCAGAAGATTGGTCAAGCTCTATGTGACCTGGGAGTAAGCATCAACTTAATGCCTTTGTCAGTGTACAAAAGGTTGGGCATGGGAGAAGTGAGACCTAAGACTGTCACTCTACAGTTCTCTGATCGCTCCATTGCGCATCTGGAAGGAAAAATCGAGGATGTATTAGTACAAGTAGATAAGTTTATATTCCCTTCTGATTTTATTGTACTTGATTTTGATGCAGATAGAGATGTGTCAATCATCTTAGGACGACCATTTTTAGCCACTTGAAAAGTATTAGTGGATGTGCACAAAGAAGAGGCCACCATGAGGGTGCAAGATCAGGAAATAAAATTTTTTGTGTATGATTCAATGAAATACCCTACGGATGTTGTAGAGTGCTCGGTCTTAAGAGTACTGGATGAAGCGTTGATTGCAATGCTAAGCTTTGAAGTCATGCTACAACATCCAGACATTATGCTGGAGCAAGCAGACGAAGATAGCAAAGAAGTCATTTATTTAGACAATGAAAAAGATATAACTCAGTCATGGTCTACATTATGTGAAAGCCTAAATATAGAGGACATTGGCCGAAGGCAGCTGAAACCATCAGTGGAAGAGCCTGCCGAGTTAGAGCTTAAAGTTTTGCCCCATAACTTGAAGTACGCTTATCTAGGTACTTCAAAAAAGCTCTCATTATCATTGCGGCAAACTTGTTTGAAGAAAAGGAGAAGGATCTGCTGGCTGTGTTAAGGGAACAGCGAAGGGCAATAAGCTGGACGATAGCTGATGTCAAGGGGATAAGCCCCAGTTTTTGCATGCACAAAATTGTTCTAAAAGAAGACAGTAAGAACTCAGTGGAGCCGCAAAAAAGGTTGAACCCAGCAATGAAGGAAGTGGTGAAAAAAGGAAATAATTAAATGGCTAGATGCTGGGATAATCTATCCAATCGCTGATAGTGAGTGGATTAGTCATGTACAATGCGTTCCAACAAAGGAAGGTATGACAGTGGTGGAGAATGATAAGAATAAACTCATTCCCACAAGGACTGTTACTGGATGTAGAATATGTATGGACCACAGAAAACTCAACAAATCCATCAAGAGAGATCATTTTCCCTTACCCTTCATTGACTAGATGTTGGATCGATTGGCTGGTCATGAGTATTACTGTTTCCTAGATGGATACATCATTTATAACCAGATCACTATTGCACCTCAAAATCAGCATAAGACTACTTTCACTTGCCCGTATGGAACTTTCGCTTTCAGAAGGATGCCCTTCGGTCTGTGCAATGCTCCAGCAACGTTCCAACGTTGTATGATGGTCATTTTTTCCGATTAAGTTGAGTCAGTGGTAGAAGTCTTTATGGACGACTTCTCGGTGTTTGGGGCGAATTTCGCTTAATGTTTGTCAAATATTTAACATGTGCTGCAGAGATGTGAAGAAACTAATCTGGTCCTCAATTGGGAAAAATGTCACTTTATTGTCCAAGAGGGTATTGTGCTAAGGCATCGCGTCTAAGGAAAGACTTGGAAATAAACAAGGCAAAAGTATAAGATATTGAACAACTGCCACCTCCCACAACCCTCAAGGGTGTGAGAAGTTTCTTAGGTCACGCGGGGTTCTACAAGCAGTTTATAAAGAACTTTTCTAAACTCGCTAAACCTTTATGTTCTTTACTATAAAATGACCATGTGTTTAATTTCTCTCATCAATGTTTGCAGGCCTTTACCACGCTAAAGCATGCACTCACCCATGCGCGTATCATTCAAGCTCCGAACTGGACCCAGCATTTGAGCTCATGTGCGATGCGAATGAATTTGTCGTTGCGGCAGTTTTGGCACAGAAGAGGGATAAAATTATACAGCCTATATATTATGCCAGCTATACGTTGATTGGAGTTCATATAAATTATACAACCACAGAGAATGAGTCGCTGGTTGTGGTGTTAGCATTTGAGAAATTCCGTGCCTATTTGATGGGGGCTAAAGTGATCATCCATACGGGCCATGCTGTGCTAAATTATTTGTTAACAAAGAAAGATGCCAAACCAAGATTGATCAGATGGATTCTGTTGTTACCGGAATTTGATGTAGAGATCAGAGTAAGAAAGCTTCGTAGCATTTGGTAGCTGACCATCTTTCCAGAATTGCAGATGCTGTAGCAATTAAAGACAATTTTCCTGATGAATATCTGTGGGCTGTTTCACACAAAAAGCAGAAAGATGAAGAACCTTAGTTTGCAGATATTGCAAACTTCTTAGCTTGTGGCATACGCCTAGAAGGAATGACAAAGCAACAACTGAAGCGATTCTTGCATGAATGCAAGTTTTATTACTGAGATAACCTCTTCCTTTATGGGCTAGGGCATGATCAAATACTGAAGAAATGTATATCCGATGCTAAAGCATCCCAGGTGCTAGCAAACTGTCATGTTGCACCGTATGGTAGACACTTTGGAGGTCAACGAGCTGCAGCTAAGTTGTTGCAAAGTGGTTACTTCTGGCCTTCCATATTCAAGGATGCTCACAAATTAGTCAAACGTTGTAATGAATGCTAGAGAGTTGGAAACATATCTAAGTGGTCTGAAATGCATTTGACTTACATTTTGGAAATTTAGTTATTTGATGTCTAGGGGATGGACTTTATAGGTCTTTTTCTTCCCTCCAATGGCCATCTGTTTATCCATGTAGCAGTGGAGTATGTGTCCAAATGGGTAGAAGTCATATCTTGCCTAACCAGTGACACCAAGGTGGTGACCAAATTTCTTATAAAGAATATTTTCACTCGATTCGGTACACCAAGGGCAATAATTAGTGAAGAAGGATTGCTACAACATATCACCCACAATCTAATGGGCAAGCTAAAGTCTCCATCGCGAAATCAAGAGCATTGTAGAGAAGGTGGTAAACACGAGCAGGAAGGATTGGGTGCTGAAACTCGATTAAGCAGTGTTGACCTACAGGACAGCTTTCAAAATGCCATTGGACACGTCTCCATATAAATTGGTATTTGGAAAGTCCTTTCATCTACCATTAGAGCTTGAATAGAGGCCCTTTTTACTGTGAAAAATTGAACTTTGACTATGTTGCAGCGAGTGAAATTTGAAAGATGCAGTTGTTGGAGCTGGAGGAATTCAAGAGGGACGTTTATGAAAATGCCAAGATCTATAAAGAAAAACCGAAAAGGTGGCATGACTCTCACATTACCAAGAACCTTTGAAAGAGTACAACAAGTTCTATTATATAATAAGAGCTAAAGTCTGAAAGAGAGTTTACTATTAATGGACATTGATTAAAGCACTATTGGGGAGAATGTCTAGAGAGAAATGCTGGAGCACAACAACTAACCACTGCCTAAAGCACAGAGAATTCAGAAATAAAGGAGCCACGATTAATTTCATCTATTTTTTTTATGGCTCCCTCTGATTTAGTTTTGTTTCACATTTTTTTTATCATGTAATTTTCATTTTTGAAAATTTGATTTTGTTTTAATTAATTTCATTTTTTAATGTCGGAAATAAAGTAGTGAACTATGTGTCCAAATAGGTAGAGGTCATATCTTGCCCAACAAGTGATGCCAAGGTGCTGACCAAATTTCTTCTCAAGAATATTTTCACTTAATTTGGTACACCAAGGGCAATAATTAGTGACGAAGGGTCCGATTTTGTGAATTGAGCAGTGGCTAGGTTGTTAGCCAAGTATAATGTTAAATAAAGGATTGCTACAGAATATCACCCACAATCTAATGGGTAAGCTAAAGTCTTCAATCGCGAAATCAAAAGCATCCTGGAGAAGGTAGTAAACATGAGTAGGAAGGATTGGGTGCTAAAACTAGATGAAGTAGTGATGACCTACATGACAGCTTTCAAAACGCCATTAGGCATGTCTCCATATAAATTGGTATTCAAAAATTCCTTTCATCTGCCATTAGAGCTTGAACACAAGGTCTTTTGGGTTGTGAAAAAGTTGAACTTTGACTATGCTACAGTAGGTGAAATTCGAAAGATGCAGTTGCTGGAGCTGGAAGAATTCAAGAGGGAAGCTTATGAAAATACCAAGATCTATAAAAAAAAAATGAAGAGGTGGCATGACTCTCACATTCAACCAAGAACCTTTGAAAGAGGACATCAAGTTCTATTATATAATTCTTGACTCAAATTGTCCCCTGAAAAGTTGAAATCTAAGTGATATGGCCCATGTTATGCATGTCTATCCTTACAAAGTTGTTAAAGTTAAAGAGCTGAAGTCTGAAAGAGAGTTTACTATTAATGGACGAGATTAGAACATTATTGGGGAGAAGGTCTAGAGAGGAATGCTGGAGCACACCAACTAACCACTAAGTAAAGCACAGAGAATTTGGAGGAGCCAGGATTAATTTCATCTATTGTTTTATGGCTCCCTCTGATTTAGTTTTATTTCGCATTTTTTTATCTTATAATTTTTAATATTTGAAAATTTGATTTCGTTTTAATTAATGACATGTTGATGAAGATTAGGGTCTTTAATTCACAAAGGAAACGAGAGAAAGGGCAATGATGGGTGGTAGGCATGCTTGGCTGAATCAAGGGCAGTTGGCAATCGCTCAATGGCATGGCAAGAGACGCCCCTCCCTATTAAGGAAATGCTCAGCATCCCTTATGCCTTGATAATCGACAACGGGAAGCGGTTCGATAAAGCCCGTTTGAACAATTTTTGTGACGACCTCAGCATCAAACACTTCAGCTCGTCCCCAGCCCATCCACAGGCGAATGGGTAGGTTAATGTCATAAACAAAATCATTAAGCGAGGTTTAAAAAGTAAGCTCGAGGCATTAAAAATACTGTTGGGCCGAGGACTTGCCAGAGGTGCTGTGGTCATACCGAACCACCACCCACGGTTAGCGAGTAAATGATGAAGTACTCTTGCTCAACCTGGACTTGCTTGAAGAAAAAAGAGCTCAGCCGTAGCATCGCTGAGCCGAGTATTAGAATCACATGCCTCAGTATTACAATGCCAGAGTGAAGCCTCGAGTGCTCAAGGCGAGCGACCTTGTAGTAAAAAAGGTCTTGAATCACGTAGGAATGCTAGATCCGAACTGGAAAGGACCATATAAGATCCGTGAAGTAGTTCGAATCAGAACTCACATCCTTGCCGACCTGAATGGCAACAAACTACCTCACCCTTGGAACGCTGACCATCTACGCATTTATTATCAATGAATGTAAAACAATCTAACTGTGATTAGGTTGTGTACAACATTAATAAATGTCTATCCCTTGATATTCAAGTCTACCTCAAATTGCTGAGC